TTATTATTATTTAGCCATTTTTATTTTAGGTAATCATTTTTTATTCCATTAGTATTACGACTTATAAGACTAATTTTCTCAATCACAATAAATGTTTAAACGATACTGTCATCTAATTTATCTTAACCATTAATTTTTTAAATATGATTTAAAATTATTTATGTATATTATGTTTGGATTTCTAAGGAGATGAAAAATTTGGGTCTATTGGGGTTATCGAAAAGACAATCAGCCACCGAGCCTGATTTCCGCGACGAGTTTAAATCAGACTTACGAAGCATATTGGATAAATTTTTGGAAAAGTTTGGGACGACATATGATCCAGAAAAAGTAGAGCTGTTYTTGACCAACATGGCCGACGAAGTGTTTGAAAACCACGGTGTAGTTTCATTAGACCACATCCGATACTTGATCGAGACTGGTTACTTCCAACCTGAAATGCGAGAAGAAGACGATGTAAAACCAGCCGATGGAGATTCATCACCGGAAGACTATATAGCCAAACGATACATTGCCTCGCTAGCCCGGAATGATGACATGCCATATTGGTACAACAGCCCGAGATACGTCGCCAAGCGGTACATTTCTTCATTGCTGAGACAAGGTAAACTTCCTTACGGATTCCAACCCACCACGGAATCGTCGACGAAAAACCAAAACTGGAACTTACAAAATGGCCAAAAACCCAAGAGAAGCGACGCGACGATTCAAAATAGTGAAGAGTTTATACCCGTGATGCAAGGTAGCAAAAGCTTGCAGAGCATTATCGACGACTTGACACAAGAACCTATGCAGAAAAGATATTTGGGTGAGTACATTTGTATCTTAATCAATGACGATATTGTGATTATGTGATTAACAAATTATGGAGTTTAGTATATTATGATGTGTTGCACATTTGTAAACGTAAATAAATAGTTTCAAACAAAAGTGATCAATACGGAGACGACTGTATAACATTAGTTGGATAATATAATACAAAAAATCGTAGTAATTTTCGTTTTTCAAATAATGGTTAACGCCGAAATTAAAAACTAGAAACAAAATCTACTGAGTTTTCGTTTGATTGTTCACAACCGTAGTCCGTATTTAAACGGTTAAAAAAATAATAATAATAATAATAATTATTATTATAACTAATTCGATTTAAATCCCAGTCGTATTATATTTGTCACATATTTGTGTGCAGTTTTCTTATTTTTCATTTACAATGGAATTTAATCTAATACACGTGAACGCATACAAAAACCGTGATATGCGAATATACATGTGCAACATAATTGTATTTGTTTGATTCCCATCGAGTATACGCTTAGTATTTGAATTCCTATAGTAATGAAAAAGCTTCTTTMCCGAAACTTACGAGTAAATCTTGTTTACAGTCTGTCGTGTATGATAATGATTTGAACTCTGATAATGCTTGGATCTTTGCTTGCGTATAAAACTTCCGTCACTTACTTACCTAACATAATAGGTAAATAATTTTAGACTTCCAACATGGTTGTCTATTGACAGACACTATAATGTATATAAGTGCGTGAAATCTTGCGCATTGAGCACAGAGTTATAGGTTTGATCACTGAAAGAAATAAGTAGACAGTACCTTCGATAATTTTAATAATTGTTTAGCCATATAGAACTAGCAATAAGTATATAATAATAAGTAAAAACAGTATCAGGCCATCTATCGGTCATCATCAGAGTTCATTTCGTTGTATATTGACGTTTTAAGTATTCGTAATTTGCATGTGCTTTTCTAGTCAACTTGGCCTGTAGCATAGWCTAAAGTATAATCGTAATAGAATATTGTATATTAGCAATTAGCATTGAGTATAAATTCTAGAAGCCAACAGTTATATTCAATAGTAAAAGTTTACAGAGGTTACGACGTACATTTGTTGCATTATTATTTCTTTTTTTTTTTTTTAATTATCCCGCGGCAACTAAGGCCATTGGGAAGCGGGTAGTACTGTAGGTTTTTGTGGAACTGT